CTATTGTTGATTTCTAATTTGATAGCCTTGTGGTCTGAGAATATGCTTTGTAGTATTTTGATATTTGTAAATTTATGTAGATTTGTTTTGTGGCCTAAAACATGATCTATTCTGGAGAATGTTCCATGGGCACTGGAAAAGAAAGTGTATTGTGTAGTTGTTGGGTTGAATGCTCTGTGTATATCTATAAGGTCCAGTTGGTTGATTGTGTTGTTTAGTTCTTCTGTGTCTTTGTCAAGCTCCTTTCTGGTTGTTCTATCCATTTTTGAAAGTGGAGTATTAAAGTCACCCACTATTATTGTAGATTCATTTATTTCTTTCTTCAAATCTATTAGAGTTTGCTTTATATATTTTGGAGCTCTTTCATTGGGAGCATAGATATTTATTATGGTTTTTTCATCTTATTCAATTGTCCCTTTAATCATGACATAATGTCCATCTTTATCTATTATGCTGGTTTTCGTCTTAGTTTATTTTATCAGAGATTAGTACTGCCACTCCTCTTTGCTTTTTATTGCAATTGGCTTGGTATATTTTTTTCCATCCTTTAACTTTTAATCTGTTTTTGTCTCTGTGTGAGATGTGTCTCTTGCAGACAGCATATTGAAGGATCTTGTTTTCTTATCCATTCTGCCAACCTCCGTCTCTTAACACGTGCATTCAATCCATTTACATTCCGTGTAATTATTGATAGGTATTGATTAATTGTTGCCATTATGTGTGTTTTTTTGTGTGGTGTTGCTGCTTCTTTGTTCGGTGTGTCTTCCTTTGTTGAGTAAATGATTTTTGTGTTCTTTCTTGTGAGTTTCCTCATAGTTTTAATGTTTCCATGTTCTTCTTGGATTTTCATTCTCTTGGTTTGTTGTGAAGTGTTCATTTTCTTTGAGGTTACCTTATAGTCCATTAACTTTTCTCTCCATTTAGTGCAGTCTATTGTATCTTGTTATCAACCTGATCTTCTCACTTCTGGATCTCTGTTCCTACATGTTTACCTTCTTTTACATTGAACTTGTTTTGATCATAGACTGATCTCCCGGATTCTCTTGCCTCCAGCTTAGAGAAAAGCAACACCACCAGGCCCCCACCCTCATCCCAAAGCCCTGCTCCAAGCAGGTGACCACTCCTGGTTCTGGGCCCCTCCCAGGGCAGTCCCTGGACTCTGACGAGTTTGTCCCGTACTGCCTGCCATCTTCAGCCCATCCCCTCTGGAGACGGAAGGTGTAGGGAGCAGAGGTGTGGCTGTCCACCATGTACCCCAGGCTCCGGTCTTCTTCTCCCCGAGACTTGGTGAATGTGTCACATGGTGGACGGAACAGTGGGTCCCACACAGGCAGAGCACCCACAGGTGCAGGAGGGGCTGGTAACCCCACTTGGGCAGTCAGGTGGAACTAGTGTGGCAAGGAGCTAGTCAGCGTCCAGTGGGTGAGGAACTATCACAGCTAGTACAGCCTGATCTCCAGCCTGATCCTTTCTCCCAGTGCACCTCGGTTTCCCCATCTGTACAGGAAGAGGCCCACAGGATGTGTTGGACGGGAAGGTGGCCTCCGTTGTAATGAAGGGTTTGGAATGGAGACGATCTGGGTCTCCCTGTGAGGTGAAGGTCACATGAGGGCTCAGGCACAGAAACCAGAGACACAAGGAGCTGTTCTCGCCCACAACGACTTCAGACCCTGGTCTCCAGCGTGGGGGTCCACGTCCACTGGGCTGCCCCAGAATACTCTCGCAGGTGCCTCCACTGCCTTCTATGTAGCACGGCCTATGGAGGCGTCTGCATTCCGGGTCCTGGTATGGGAACTGGCCGCTCCTGCCCATCATCCTCCTCACTCAGCACCTTAGGGCCCTGCTGGCGGCCTTGCCTATGGACAAGCTCGCACCCTCTTCTTGGCTCTGAGGGCTGGATGTTCTTCCCAACTGCATTTTCTCTCCCCTCACCTGATTTGGGGTGATATCTCTGGCTGTGTGGGGTGACACTGTGTTCTTGCTGCATCCCCACAGCTAGGATTGTTAACCCGTTCTGGAGAGACCTAGGGGCTTCGGTGGAACTCTGAAACTGAGGCATGAGCCATCCTGGTCCACGGGATTTCTGTTTCTAACAACTGCCTACTCCCACCTTCTTGGCTGGCCTCGCCCAAGGATATGGGGCTTTGTGGCGTCCACACAGGGTGCCCCCAACATTCCTGACAGTGAGCCAGTCGATCCCAGCAAGGGGGTGGGAGGAGCGGAAGAGCCCAGGAAATAAGACAGGGGCAGCAAGCCGAGACCAGCCGGAGGAGAGGCCCCACGTGCTTGCTTTCTCACAGCAAGGCTTCTGGAAGTCATGTGTTCAAGGACGGATTTTAGCAGAGGGCAACCTCCCAGTGTGCGAGGCTGGTGCTGGACACAGAGGGCACTTGTCCGGCTCTCGGGCCTCCGGGGTGCACAGAGTGGGAGGGTGGGCCATGGTCTTGGCCCACAGAAAGGTTGGGTGGGCATCACATGTCGGGCTGGGTCCTCTCCCTGTGGCCCTTTGTGAGCCCAGTCATCACAGTCTACTTCTGTCTCCTTCAAGGGTTTGAGTACCAGCGGCCCAAACACCAGCACTCGAGTGATGACCTCGAGGTGGCCTCGGTGGGCACCCCTCTGCCACCAGAGAGCCCCGAGCTCTACCGGAAAGGCACGACACCCTCAGACCTGACGCCAGATGACAGCCCCCTGCAGAGTCTCCCCGCAAGTCCCTCGGCCAGCCCGCCCCCAGCCCCGGCCCCCCGGAACAAGACGGCCCACTTCTCCCGGCAGGTGTCTGTGGACGAGGAGCGGGCTGGGGACATCCAGATGCTCCTGGAGGGCTGCGGAGGGGACTGCTCCAGGAACAGCTGGGCCGATGAGAAGGCGGGAGGCCCACGGGGCATTCGGGGTGGCGCCCTCCGCAGTGGTCAGCCGGCGGACGACCACCGTGCCCGGGGTTCCAGCCACAGGCAGCCCAGCAACCCCCGGCCCCGGGAGCGACGGACGGAGTCACCCCCAGTGTTCGCATGGACTTCCCACTCGCGGGCCGGCAATCCCGGCTCAGGGGGCGGGGCGCTGCTGGCTCTGGACGAGGAACAGCTGAGCACCTATGAGATGGAGATGAAGCCGCTGCTGAGGATGGAGGCGCAGGAGGCGCACCCCAAGAGACGCTACGGCAAGGGGGGTGCAGGCCGGGGCCCCGCCGAGGATCGTGGCTTTGGGGTGCAGAGACTGCGGTCCAAGGCTCAGAACAGGGAGAACTTCCGACAGACGCCCCCTAGTACCGAGCCCGCAGTACAGAAGCTGGACAGCCTGCGGCTGGGGGAAAAGGCGGAGCCACGGCTGCTACGATGGGACCTGACTTTCTCCCCGCCCCAGAAGTCCTTGCCGGTTGCCCTGGAGTCGGACGAGGAGAATGGGGACGAACTTAAGTCCAGTGCGGTGAGTGTCTGGTGGGTGGGAACGTGTCTGGGGATAGCAAAGGTGCCTGCCCCTGTGTCCACTTCCGCTGTGAGCCTCACGAGGGGCTGGAACCAGTTTATGGAGAGAACAGATGTCTGGGGGCCATTGAACACCTAAGCTTGTGGGCCCTGTACCCACTTACTGAAGACAGACCCCTTGCTCCTGAGGAACACGGCCAGGCCCAGAGAGGAGGTGGACAGAGAGGGAGCGTCAGTGTCCTGGAGTGGGAGGCAGTCTTTCCAGGTGCAGGGACACATCACTCAACATTCCTACTGAGGAGACAGGAGTGGTCATCATTCATTTTCCTGTTTGGGGAAACGTCCGTCCACCCGACACCTGCCTACTGCCATCAGAGGTCATCTGCTGGGACCTTCAGGACTTAGTGAGGTGCACACTTAAACATCACAGCAGGCCTGCAGGATCTTGGGGGGACCTAGTGGTCAGGGTGTCATTGATCCCCGCAAAGGGCAGGAACCCTGTGCAGAACTCCATATTCACACACCCTCAAACGGTGTTGGGGGGACAAGCCCAAATCCCCACACCCAGCCCAGGCAGATTTGGCGTACCGGGGTCCACCCTCAGTGTGAGAGGCCGGTGCCCTTGAACTGAGCTGGGCAGGAGAGGGACGTCTTCAGACACTAGTCGGTGATCATGACTCATTGCACTGTCCCCACCTCAGTGCTCCACAAAGTAGAGCACACAGTGCCTGTCCAGCACTCTGGCTACCAGGGCTGTGGTCACTGCACCAACAGCCTCCAAGGCCCCCTCCTCTGACCAGGCTGCCCAGTTCCTGTCCACAGCACTGTGGGCCTGGGGCCCATGGACATGGTCTTACTCCTGTTGTCCTGATGCTGTGCCCTACAGGGACATGTCTAGTTATGGGGGACAGGGAGGGAAGGCTATTCCACCTCAGTGGGCTTAGTCCTTGCTGCCCATCGCTTCCTAACTGCACCCCCCCCCCACACACACACACACAGCCTTACCCACAGAGAGCCACACCGTGGTTCCTGGGACCAAAGAACCAGCTTGCACTTTTAACTCTAATGTTCCTCATCACAGCAGCCAGAAAAGGTGTGTTTTCTGTATGTGCGTACCTGTGTGAGCACAGGTGTATGCGTGTACACTTGCGCTGCACGTTCACATGTGATGTGTGCATGAGTATGCAGGTTACATGTGTGTGTTCTCTGGACACGTGTAGCCTTGTGGCCATACTTGTATGGTCAGTGTAGATGCATTTTCTTGTTGTGTTTAGTTCGTGGTCCATGTGTTGTATGTGCATGCATATGCACTCCGCACATGTCTGATGTACATGTTCTCTGCGTGTGCACAGTGTCATACATCTATGGTGTTTACGTGCTGTTTTCTGCTGTGTACACATGTGACCCATGTGCACGTGGTCTCTGTATCTGCAGAGTATGTGTACACATGCAGTCTTATTCATGTGTTATCAGTGTGTAGTCTTATGCATGTGTGCTCTGTATACATGTGTTCTGTGTACATGTGTGTATCCTGTGTGGTCAGTGTGCATGTGGTCTCATACAAGATTATGTTCTCTGCATGTGTGGCCTGTATACTACGTGTGCTCTGTGTATATGCATGTATCCTCTGTGTGGTCAGTGTGCATATTGTGTGTGGTGTACAGACATGTGGACCCACTCAAGTGTCTGTTCTCTGCATGTGTGGCCTGTACACACATGTGTATCCTGTGTGGTCAGTGTGCACAATCTCTGCATGTGTGGCCTGTGTACATGTGTGTGTCCTCTGCATAACCAGTGGTCCCATGTTTTTTCTGTGTGCATGTGTGGGTTATACATGTGTGTGTCAGGACACTTTAGGAACAGCAATGAGGTCTAGCAGTGGGATCCACCCTTCTCCCTCTGAGCGTGCTGGCACGCCTGCTGGTCTCGGGCCCCAGGGGGTGGGCAGCATGTGCATGTGGTCCTCAGACCAGCTGTTAAATGCTGCACATCTCTCCAGGTACGTGTGGGTCTTCTTTGGAGGACAGTCTAGTTCAGTCCACTGCCTGTCTAGACGGGCTGCTTGGCTGCTGCTGAGCTGTGGGAGTTCTAGCTTGGAGCTCCCAGTCCCTTACGAGATTATGATCGGCTTGCTCTCCCTCCCACTCTCAGGGCTGTCTGGCTGCCTGTGCTGGGCCCTCGGGTCTCACGGCAGCTTTCAGCCCGGCTGCTCCCAGCAGTAGAAGTAGACCCTTGAGAAGGCCTCAGTAGTTGAGTGGGCTCTCTGCCCCTGGGGGCTGTGGTTAGGGAATGGGCAACCTGATCCCCCGACTCCATAGGGATCACTTCCTGGAAGGCTGTGACGAGTTTACTCAGAGAACAATGCCATGCTCCACCTAGCCCTCCTGACCAGACCCCTGACTTGCAAACCATTGCTTAAGAGACAAGGAACCAGCAGGTGTTGCCGCGGAGAGGCATGCCTCACTCAGCATCTCAGCCTCTGGGCCAAGTGACAACAGGGCTCTGAGGCTCTTCTTGGCTTTGGGGCCATGTCCCTTCACAAGATAATTCCACAGGTGATGGCCAGTGGGGTAGCAGTGCCAAATGGATGGCATCAATGCCTGTAAGTTACGACTCGGTTTTTGGCGCCTGGTGAGAACCAGGCATGCAGAGAGTCCATGGGGGTTCACACATGTCCCATGCTCCTGTGGGTGTCCTGACACACACGTGGACTGCATGTGAACGGCCCTTCAGGTTAGAACTACCATGAAGCCCCATCTCCCAGTATCCCCCTACTCATCATGCAGTTGAGATTCTGTAGAATCAGGTGGCCCAGGCCCCGAGCTCCATGTACATGGGCCTTCCCTAGAGAGTGAGCTCTCGGCAGGACTCCCCACCTCCAGTCCACCCCTACCCCCCACCACTGGACAGAAGCTTGGGTCCCTCTTCCATGGACCCTGCTGCCGAAACAGTACAGATGGCCATATTCTGCTATCTCTGCTGTCAGGTATCTGTAAGTCTTGTGTGGTCAAGGGGTGCAGGCAAGTGGGAGAGTCAGAAAAGGGGTCGTTCCCCACCCCCCAGTCTTCTACAGGTGAAACCCTGGGGGCATACAAATGAGGGCCTGGAGGGGGCAGGCATCCTAGCCCTGCAAACCCTGCGCCTGTTGAGTGTGGTCAGTGGGACAAGAGAGGGAGGGACAAGGAGTGATGGCCAGTAGCCTTCTTGTCTGGGCCATGTCACGGGCAGAGCCTGGACACCAGGCCAGTAGCTTCAGCTTTGCAGGTGAATGGGCTCCACCAGCCTGTTTCTGAGCTGTGAGGGCTGGAAAACATCTTAGATTACCTGTGATTTCCGCCCTCTTGGAACTTCTAGCTGGCTTTAAGGAAACACCGCTGTATGGAGTCAACTCTGACTCAGTTACAACTGTGCCTAACTTTGAGACATAAATTACCAGGTCTTTCTACTGAGGTACTCCTGGTCTCAAGGAAACGGGTGGGGTTGGGCACAGAGAGAGCGCACCTACCCAGACAACATAACAACGCTCTGCTCCTCCATTTCTCCTCTCTTCCAGGGCTCAGCACCCATCCTGGTTGTCATGGTGATCTTGCTAAACATCGGAGTTGCCATTTTGTTTATTAACTTTTTCATCTGATGAGATTGTTGCGTTAGCAAAAAAAAAAAAAAAATCACAGGCTGTGTACAAAAGGGGGGAAATGCAAAACGATGGGGAGCCTTGGGACATAAACTCAAAACGGTCCAACGTTGACGTCCACATCTTCCCACAGAAGAACACCACGACTGAGGATCACTCACAGTTTGCCTTTTTTTCTGGGTAATGTTTTTTGGATTTTAGCCAAAATCCTTTGCTTGTCTAACACCACGCTGTGTGGCACGGCAGGTGGGCGCCATGACCCTAACATGGGACGAGACAGGATCCTGACGGGTCACTGGGTCAAGGACACCTTGGTTCCCCGTCTAGGATTCCGAACAGCCGTGCCCCATGCTGCTGGGCGAGGGGGCACACGGGGGAAGCTGGGTCCAGAGTGGTCTGGGGACTAGGATGGAGTGGGGGCGGGGGAGGGGGATCCTCTCCCAACTGTGTGCTCGGGAGGAGAGGGGCCGCCCGTCCTCTCCTCAGCACTGCCCTCGGCTTCCCGGAGAAGCCAGACCCCACACAGTACCCCACTCTTGCCAGTGTCTGTCATGACCCCTGTGTACCTCCCCTTGACTCCATCTCCTGCTCGGGGAGCTGTGTGTGTCCCAGCGTCCAGGGGCTGGGGGCTGACTTTGCAGGGCTACAAGCGTGTGGCCTCTTTGCACCCTGAAGGTGGGGTACACACTCGAGCTGCCACCATGTCCCCCAAAAGATGTCACCGGCAATGACTGGCCCTGGAGGACCCGGCTCTCCACAGGGTCACAGCCCCATGTCTGTCCCACCCTGCCCTGACTGACCGACAGATATGCACACTCCCTCTGGACACTTCACTTCTCAAAGCTGGTCCGGGCCAGGGAAAGGGACGCGGGTCCAACTCAGTGGACCAACTCGAGAATTCCTAAGCAGTTGTTGCATATCCCTGAATCCCCCTCCAAAATTGTACCCCGTAATTCGTTCCAGGCAAACAAACAGACTCCTGTGTTTCTGCCTTCCCCACCTTGTGGTTCCATCGTCCCACACAGGATGAGGAACGCCAGGTGGTTGAATGCCCGAGGTCTAGCCCTGGAGACAGGCCTGGCCGATCCGCACCAAAACCCCGTATGCCAGGCGCCCGCGTAGACACTGGGGAAGGTCCTGTCTGACTTCCGGTGTCTCGGGACCGGTCCTGGGGACGCTGCCTTGCTTTGCTTATGTTGAACTCTTTCTCTGCTACCTTTCGAGCAGGTCTCTTTACTACACTGCACTGGATTGCTATATTTTTAACCGGAAATAAACTAAAGATTAGAGCATGTTCCAGTTACATCCAGTTTTTTGGTTTGGTTTTTGTTTTAACCAACCCCGCCTCTCACCTTTTCCTTTTTCATTCTATTTTCACTCCCGTTCTTTCTCAAAGTTTGGTTGAGTTTGGGGATCATTTGTTTGGGGGGGGGGAGGCCCCACAGAGAACACTGATATATTTCTGATGACGTTGCTTTCCAGAGGTCTCCTATGTTTTTTTGTCCACCTCCCCTTTCTGTTGCTCTGTTTTGATACGGTGCGGATGCTGCACACCTGAGGTGAACCAAGTGGAGACTCATGTTCCTTGTAGCTCCAAGATCATCACGCTGGGACATGTGTTTTGTAATCTTGTCTGCAGCTCTTTGTAACGACGAAAGAGACTTCTTTTGTACATTCTGGTAACTGCATGACACACAGTGGTACCTCCTGATGCAGGTTACATAGTGACATGCAAACACCGTGAGGTACTTAGAGATGTATGGAAGCGACAGCACAGAGACGCACACGGTCCAATAAAAGCATGAGTGTTTTCATGCGCAGGTGGTTCACGCTGCTGACTGGCTGGCGCCCTCCCCCACCCACCCACCAGCTAGGTTCCATCGAGACTGGACTGGCCTGAGTCTGAAAGTTTCCCGGGCTCATGTGTAATTGGATTCCCAAGTACGTCCCCCTGGCTGATGCCTACCCTGGGCTCATCTCTCCTTTCACCCACCAGGCCAACCTCCGCACAGCTGGTGTATCAGGGCCTTCCTGGGGACCCAGCAAGGGATGCCAGGCCACTGTGCTGCTCCCTAGGTGCAGGGTGGTCTATGTACGTGTCACGAGCACCTCCAACTATCTTGACAGCTGTTTCTCCGCGGTCTGAAGGTGGGAAACAGGCGCAGGACTCGCGAGGGAAGTGGTGTGGCTCGCTCGTTTCCCTGTCCCCTTCACGCAGGCTGAGAAACTGCCAGAGGTGCTCTGAAGGTCCGGGTGCTTGTGGGGCTGGAGCGATTCTCCCTGGCCCTGGCTTTTGAGTCTTAGGTTTTAGTGTCATTAACAGGTATCCCTGGTGGCACTGTGGGCTAAGTATTGGGTCCTAAATACAAGGTGGGCAGATGAACCCACCGGCCATAGGAGAAAGATGAGGGTCTTAGAAACCCCATGGAGCGGTCCCTCGCTGTCACATGGGGCTGCTGGGAGTTAGAAGGGGCCCGTGGCAGGGGGTCGGGTTTTGGTTATAATCATTAGCACATAAGGGTTCCAAAAAGTTCTGACCAGATAGGCAACGTGTCCACTAAAATGCTTGGCGAGGACGTACAAGCAGACACAAGAGATCAGTGTGACACAAGAGATGCCTGGTGCCAAAGTCATCGGAGAGCTGAATGGGTGTGTCAGTGCCAGGGCTGACCACCTCACCACCCTAACAAGTCCACCACCAAGTCTCAATCAACAGCACAGAGACGCACACTCTCTACATAAGAGCGCCACCTGGTGGGCTGAGACGTGAATGCACAGCGCCCTTTCCAATCAGAGCGCCACCTGGTGGGCTAACATATGAGCACACAGCGCCCTCTCCATATCAGAGCGCCACCTGGTGGGCTAACATATGAGCACACAGCGC